GTTCATTTTGGGTTAGACTGAACGATGCTCATAATAATAACCTTAGCATAACTATTATTCTCGGATCTATTTATTTGATGAAGATATACTATAAGAGAAAAAAAGAGAATCGTGAAGATATTTATCCAGATAAACTATCTGTTGAATGAAAACATTATCTGCTATATATCTAGTATTATCCAGATAATCCGGATAGAAAGTCCAACGGAGCCGAACACTAAAGTAATCAAAGCATTATTGCCATCTAAAAAATTTATCAAGATGCAAAAGAAAGGAATGTAATAATAACAAAATCCGCAGTAAATTTATAAAATTATTTAAAATTTGAATCTACGACGGCCTCCCGAAATTCTTGTTATAAGAGATACATTACTGCCGCAGCTGCAGTAATAACGATAACGCTTATATCATGTGACCCGAACTTTGGGTTAATTCGAATGCTACGGTAACCTCTTTAAAGTTTTATCTTTATGTGGTGTAAAACAATTTTAAAATTAAAAAAGCAATCGTTTAACTGTTAAGTATACCTCATCAAACTAATAACAAGCTGGGGTGTCCACTATCGGTCAAATTACAAACATAGTGCAAATGATAATATCATCTGCACTATCGCTGACAGAAATTACCTATGTTTAAACGTTAAATTATTCACTTTATTGGCTGCTACAAAAGTCACATAATGATCGAATAACCATATAAAAAGTAAATGGTTATTTCATTGTAATTATATAATAATTATATAATTGGATAAAAAAAAATAAAAATATTGAAATTTTTTATACACTAAAAGCAAACAACTGAGCAAAATATACAAATTGAAAAACTTGTTAAGTTTAATAAGACAACCATTCATATATATATCTCTCTCTTATATATATATATATATTTTTTTGAAAAATTTCAAAAATTAAGATCACCGTCCAGATCATTATCATCATCATCATTCATCATCGTTATTGTTAATTGAGTTTGGCTCATTTGTTACAATCTCTTCAAACTGTTCATAAACTCTATTCTCATCATGTTCTCTCAACCTAACATAATCAATCCACTTTTTAAATAAATGAGTAGTTAATTAGAAAACAAATTAATATAAAATAAACCATATAAATCAAAAAGTTGTAATAATAATAAACTTACCAAACCAGATTTCATGGATCCAACATGATTATGAATTTTAAGACCAACATCATGATATACCAATTTACCATCTACTACTTTTCTCTCAGGAACAACAATTTTATAAGGTAAACAATATTCAACCCAATCATTTTTATGGGAAATATTAGTGTACAATGAAGCTTGCGGAATATGATTATAATTTTGTTCATCATGAATAGTTGTTTCATCTTCAATTTCATCCTCTAGCTATTTATATATAAAATAATATAAAGTGTGAATGTTATGAATATGCCAATGCGTAAAAAAAAAAAAAAAAAAAGAT